CGGAGCTGTTGCAGAGGGCACTGGACATGACAAGACGAAACGCGGAGCAAGATCGATTACAGGACATTCAGAATCATGCCGCAATGCTTTGTGCAGCACCGGAAATGCTAAGACAAAACGAAAATCGAAGAAAAATGCAACAAAGTTCAAAGCTTGTGCCGATCATACAGAATGCTCTGGAAATGACCAAACAGGACCAACGCAATGACGAACTCCTGCAAAATGCAAGGATGGTAAACACATCACAAACTGAGCCGGAAGCAACACAACGGAATAATGAGCAAGGACTGTTAGCAAACGCAAGATTAAGAGAGATGTTACAGAGCGCATTGAAAATGACAAGGAGGCAAAACCATGATCTAATTGAACCAGAGCATGCTAAAGAAGTCGTGAAAATGCTAAAAGCTGCACTGAATGTGACAAAACAGAGTCAGCTTCGACGAACGTCATCAAACAGTGGGAACGCGGTAAGCACATTGCAAAATGCGCTTGAAATGATAACACAAAGACAAAATAAACAACCAAACCCTATGTTCAAAGCTAGAAACGACGAGAGGAAATTAAGTAGAACAAAATGCATTTTTTGTCACAGACTATGCCCAGTTTTTACCGAAGAGATATGAAAAAATGATGAGTAATGAATCACATTACAGATGTTGGAAATGACAAAATCGAGTGTGCAACCTGCAGTACCCCCGAAGCAAAATTCACAGTACCAACAAATGAATGACTATCTACAACGTTATGACGTAACTTTTCTAGACCGCCTGTAAACTGCTCACTCATTACAATAGAATGCTGATTGATCAGAAACAATTTTCGATCACGAATCACCTCACGTGCATAATGCTTCTCTAATCATGGCTATGAAACGCCAGTTCACCGAACTAACTAATTTTTTGCCACAGAGTCATGTGACTGGAACTATATCCAGATCTATAAATCATTAGAAAGTCCATTAAAGTAAACATGTTCGGGTTAAACTATGTGTTCTGATTAGATTGATCATTGATTTTTAGATGCAAGGTAGAACAGAACTACCAAACAACCTATCAACTATACCGCAGTTCATATACAAATGGCAGGAGGAAAGTATGCCGATACTGAGCGTGGCTTCAGGGCGAACAAACCAAACCTCTGAGTCTAGAAAATTACAAAAAAATCCCATTGCTAGGCAGAGGTCGGTGGCTCACATGGAAATCGTAAAAAGAAATCAAGAATCGTCAGGGTTGCGGAGTGGAGTTGAACTGGCACGAATGTTGCAAGCTGCCCTAGAAATGACACGACAAAAGGAGTCGCAAGAGATCTTTCGGGGAAATCCGTATGTGGCACTATTATTACAAGCTGCTCTGGAAATGACAAGACAAAACCAACAACCGGAAATAATACCACAAAGTAGTAAATTGGCAGAGTTGTTACAAATGGCATTGGAAGTCACCAAAGCAAGTAACCAATCCCCACAACCGGAGCAGCTCTCGAAGGTGACGGAGCTGTTGCAGAGGGCACTGGACATGACAAGACGAAACGCGGAGCTATCTCGCCTACAAGAACAATATTCAAGGCTGGTACGGTTACTGCAAACTGCTCTGGATATGTCCAAACAAAACAGAACAGAAATAAGAGCGGAACAGAAAATTCGTAATCTCGTTCCGATCATACAAGCTGCTCTGGAAATGATAAGAGGGGGACAAAGATATTTAACGGCACCATATAGTGTAAATTTGGGTCGTGTGTATTGCACAGCAAAGCAGAAACCGTTGCGATTCTACTCAAAGCAAAATTTTGTTCCATTAGAGGGTCGAAGTCGGTCATGGAACCCTCCAGAAAAGAATGCAAAAATGATGCTGACGTCACAAATACCTCTAAAAAAGATGTTGCAGAATCAACATAATGCTCTCCCAGAACGATATCAATCAAAACTTGTGAGTTAATGAAATCGTTAACTTACTATCTTTATAATATTACTCGGTTACCGATGGTTGAATCTTGCTCGTGTCATGTTCGAGAATGAGGCTTGAAGAGATGTAATTTGAACGCTAAATATTTTTGAGTGACCGAAACAGCTGTTGCTCTCATTCGAATGTTACAAGTTGTACACTTCGAATTTTTAATTCGTCGGCGAAAATTTTCACGATTCTTTTTTTCAGTTTCATGACAACGCTCGAGTGACGCAGTCAACGCAATTAATCGGGCACAGTCAAAAGCAAAAATCGCCTCAACGCCATTCTGAACGAGAGAAGTGGTCCGATGGAACGAAACAAATTAGACATAAACGAGATCAAAAGCAGTCAAGAGATGGAGCAAAATTAATGGAGATCACGAAGGGTTCGCCGAAAATGACCAATAAAAGTAATGCAAATCGACATCCTAAACAAAATAGGAAGACGTCACAGACGGTGCAGACTGCAATTGAACTTGAATGTCGAAGTCATAATGAAAAGCTGTCGTCGAACGAATCAAAAACTTCGCACCCCACAGTGAATGCGGCAAGTGGAAATGAGCAGCATGGACGACTGAAACGAAATGAAAAAACGATTATTCGCTCTCAGCCACGAACGAAACATCAAAACAAAAGACATTCACATCAAATTCGGGTTTCACAAAGTGCCCCGCAAATGACAACTAAAAATCAACCACGGTTCAAAATGAAGCGTGATAAGTGGACTACGATGAGAAAACAACGAGATCAGCAGTCACGAAGCTGTTCACAGTCACAGAAATATTCATACAGCGAACCCGAGGCTTATGCTGCATATGACAAAGAATACCAAGCTGAACGAATAGCTCGGAAGATTCATCGCAATAAAAAGTTGCAGCGATATCAATCCAAATCCCGCAAGGTCCGTCCATCATCTGTTCATTGTTTGCTCATTGTCAGGTCTTTGAAAAGAAGTTCGAATTTGGTCCCTGATAATTTGTTTAATTTATCAATGAATTTGAAATTCTTGGAACGGTATAAGAACTTTCACATTGTGTCTAAAAATGAATAGCAAATCAAGTTTGAAGAGTATTCACGTTTCGAAGCTTTGAGCAGAGAATAACTATAAAATTTTCAGCATTCATTTACGCATAAAAATCTGTTGATGTTTATATAGATCTCGGAAAATTAGCGCTTACGCAAACTGATAAGTATTCAAGAACAGAGTGCCAAATAATTTGGAGGCTCGCAAAAATATTCAGCAATTGTTTATTACTAATAGAATGAGATGATTTTCAGCCCATTATCATCGACCGTACTTCGGAGCTTGTTGAAGTTCAACTGCCGCTGTAATATTAAAGTGAGTAGATTTTTAAAAAAGTATCTAATCAAACTAGCCTTTTCAACTGAAGCTGGTAAACAGCATTCTAGGGGCAAAGGGGGAGGGGGGGGGGCAGAATCGTGATCTTAATTGACTGCGGTCTCATTCTGGCGTAAAATTTACGACAAAAAGATAGAAATCTGATATTCCGGTTCGAATAATCCGTTGACTTGAACAAGAATGTCACGATGACAGCCTCGTATTCAGTGATTTTATTGATAACAACAAACCACAAATAATGAAAACACGAAGCAAGCAACAAGAAAACACTTCCACAATAATTCAAGAATCGATGGACAAATTATCTCACCTATCTTACTAAAACAATTGCACACAACAGAAACACCTATGAACAATTATGCTAGTAACTGCTACAATAGTCATAACAAGTGAACCACCAACAAATTGTCACTGCGTCGTGATGTTGAGAATGGTTGATCCAGAATCGTGCGGATGATATCCGACGTGACGATTACCGTTCTGCCGAGGAATAGTCTACAAATATGCCTTAGAGAATAATATCGGCGGTAGACCGTGATTTACAATAACAGTGCCTCAAATTAACTTGTTAACGGCCGAGATATTCAAGAACGATAACAATTGCTAGAGTCAAGAATAACAATTGACTCACTAGGAAAGGTCACGAAGTTACTCAAGCCTTTCGGAATGAGACATATATCATATTGCAGGGCTAATGTAGCTGATCATGGAAATGCAAAAAATTTTTGCAATGACAAGGGGGATGCGAGTTATGGCGCGAAAAAGGTTTTTAGTGTATTGAAGTGAGGTTCTAAATTTCTTTCGGTCATCGGCGGTCTGGCACTGTGGATAGTGCGCCAGCATCGAGTATGAGTGCCCGGTGGTTCTCCCCACGCTCGCGAAACTTTTTTCTCCTGGTTGGCTTTGAAAAAAAAAGTTGTGATAAATCAACTGCTACTAGTGATGTCTGTATACCAATTTTTTAAAAACTGTTCTGTTCGGTTTTTTTTTTGAGCTCGAAAACGGCTCTATTTTGTTCCAAACTGTTCCTTCCTCATTTACGAACACTTCATGGAACAGAACAGGAATAGAAAAGTTTAATTGGAATAGAGACATCACTAATTACTACTACCGAGAAATCGAGAGCAACGATAATCAAAATTAACACCACCATTGGGCAAAGATCATTATTGATACATGTTTGTTTCCCTTCAAAAGTGTGGCCGTTTCATATCATTTTTATTGCTGATAAATCTGGACATTGTGAGCATCGAAGAAAGTGGTCTGTGTTCATCACTCGTTGAGCGGCAGAAATCAATTGCGCGATGAACATCCGATGCGCTAATGAGTTTACCGTTGCTGAAAGCAACTTTATCCGGAACAACGAGGACACCATCATCTATATTCTCCGACGATTCACCTTTATCCTCACTCTCATTGCAAATTTCTTCATCTTCCTCCATCTTCAACTCATTACCCTCCGTATGCCGCATAATAATATCGGCTAGTTTTTGCGCCATTTTCTTCTCCGCTCTGGTTGCCGAAGAGGCATCTCCAACACCGAACTTCTCGCACAGTAAAGCGACCACAGTAGACGAGGAAAACCGTTCCATAATAATGAGCTCGAAAAAACAGAATAGAACAGTTTTCAAAAAATTGGTATAGAGACATCACCAGTAGTAGTTGATTTATCACAACTTGTTTTCAAAGCCAACCAGGAGAAAAAAGTTTCGCGAGCGTGGGGAGAACCACCGGGCACTCATACTCGATGCTGGCGCACTATCCACCGTGCCAGACCGCCGATGACCGAAAGAAATTTAGAACCTCACTTCAATACGCTAAGAACTTTTTTCGCGCCATAACTCGCGTCCCTTTGTCCATTTCAAAATATTTTGCATATCCATGATCAGCTACATGAGCCCTACAATATGATATATGTCTCATTCCGAAAGGCGGGGGTAACTTCGTGACCTTTCCTCGTCAGACTGAGTGTTTCAAGTAACACTCTGTTCAAATTAGAGGTGATGTTTGACTTTGGAATATTTTTAATGAATATTCACCCCAATTGAATTCGTCTTCACTTGACGATCACCGCTGAATTTCACCTCAAACCTCAATAAAAAATCACCTATCACAGCAATTTAGACACACAAAGAAGAAATTCAATTAACAATACATTATTGAGACAATAAACAAAATTTGTGTGATAGAATTAGCTGGAAACCAACGATGGGCACACTAACGAAAAAAGTTAGCGCACTAATCGCTGATCCGCTGAAAACGTGCACATCAATCCAAACAGTCGCAATCACGCAGTAGTCTCAGCACAGGTATTAATGACAGCCTCAAGGCACTTTTCGGGTGCTTACGGTGATAATAATAACCGAGGCGACTTGCCTTGCTTATTTCTGTCACATTAGTGTATACCTAACAGCAACTTTTAGCACGTTAGCGCGATAGCAGGTTTTTAAGTTGTGGTTTATGGAGGAGATATGAAATCATGGGTTTCTGCAAACGAATTTCCGTTAGATTTATGAAATTATTTCACGTCAGCTAGAAATTCACGCTGAAATTTATCACCACTTCATTACATAAGTTTAAGCTTTCCTTCCAGCATTGCACTTATTCTTCCAGCTGGTGTTTCGAATTGCTGTTTCGAAAGAGTAACTATCAATCTTCCATTTTTTTTCAGCAGCAGTTATGCGGTAAAAGGTGTGTCACGCAATGTAATTGTATTCACCGTCGTTCAAATTATTCGCTTTCACGAGTTTTATCAATTGAAGGGAATATGAAAATAACTTCATAATTTTCTTCAAGCCTACAATTCAACGAACTGTTTAATGTTCACTGTTTTTTCCGTGAATCAGGTCATTAATGAAAATAATTTTTTGTGCTCGTGTTGAATGGTAATCCCTTGCTGTCACTTCGACTGTTTTTTATTGCAATCATGCAATGTAATGATAACGCTTTTAGCAATAAAATTTTTCATCATTTCACGACGTTTCGTTGTACCTCAATAAAAATATACGTTGGTCTCTATCTTATGTTTATTTTACGATAACGAATTCGATCAACTGACATGTTTCGCAAAGACCTTGTTGAAAAGATCATAATGAGACATTCATAGTCCAAGTAGCAGTGATAAGTCAATTAAACAGTATAGAAAGTCAATCATCAATATCAGCTGCTACCAATGGCCGGTGTTCAACAGCTGAAAGGGTTTACGTTTGTCAAGTGAAATCACCTATTTGACTGAACCTGAATCAATGATGATTATGGAAACCAATTATGGAAGCAAGTTATTCCTGACTTATCTAGTCCGAATGCATCACAGTTCACACGTATCTTCAAGTTGATTTCACAATACATTATATCTCCTTTTCTGCTTCGTTAGCTTTTCGCATTGTATTACAAACTGAATTTTCATTTCCGCCATTCAACTCTATTAGTTTCAAACTACAATTTGTTAATTAATTCCCAACAGAATTAGCTAGGTCCAATGGAATTCACGGGTCTTTCATTGTATCGAAATGAGTTGAGCATTCGTCAGGTTCAATACATTCTGTTCCTGTGATCATTTCTGACACAAACAATCTTGTCTTGACTGAATATTGAATTTGGTCATTTAAAGTTGACTTTAAACCAGTTTTATGTTATACCAACTGAACAGTATACGTTAAAGATCCGCAGTTAAACGTTTCGGAAATTTCAGTCTCCAATCAAATTCGACACAACTGTCTAAACAAATTTCCTCATCATCATTCATGATGCTGTCATCAAATGAATGTGTTTTTAATGAATCAGTGACGGAGGGCGTTTCTGTAGAACCATCATCATTGTCTCGTTCTTTTGATGAATCGTTCAATGATGAATGCATTGCTTCCTGAAACAGAATTGTTCATATTTGTTCAGCAATCGCTGTCACATTTAACTTGTTAATGACTTCTTCTTTAGATATCCAAACAATCTTGCAAAAATTTCACGTACTTGCTTTGCAATTTAATAGTGCAAAATTTTGGAATAGTCTAAATTCTTCTTAAATAGAACGTCGATTGTAGACACTCATGAGTATATTCATATCTAACCTCGAAGAATCCTTGCTTGATGTGTTTGACGAGAAAATGACTCAGTTTAAACCATAAAATCTCTTCATATTGAATACGTTTTATGCAGTGATGACTGTCTCTGCGTAATGTAAAACTGTATCTCTTTTTCAACTCAGCCGTATCGCTGCATGATCTATACCCTTCAAAAGGCTTTTTTTTACTTTAAATATAACAATTTTAAAAGAGGTTTTAATTGTTTCGTGATCAGATCGCTGCTTCAAAATTCATTATTTTCAAAAATTTCAAGCATTCGATATTCGACTCATTTTATATTCAACTTTGAATGAACGAGCTGAATAACCTTGATAGTGCTTATCGGAATACATAACTGTTTCAATAAAAGCTTTGTGAAAATGTATCCAATTCCAATCTTGCAGCCATACTCTCTTCTGATGATGCAATGCTCCTAATCGCCAACACATTTCCGATACGTTCTCCTCTGAAAAATGCTCACTAGCAATCGCATCCATCACCTGAAGAATAATTTTTTCTTATTTGTCACGTATTTCTTGCGATCACTTTATGCAATCCTCTCTAATTCAGTTCGTTCGCTGATCGTAGCGCAGTGAGTGATATACAATCTTCGGTACAGTCAATGTCAAGAGAATCGATAAATGTGCATTGAGGTATTCAATTTGATTTACGCTCCTTGTATTCAATTTGATCCACATGTTTAGACTCTGACAAATCGAATAATTCCAATAGGATTGTGCAGAATGAAGAAAAAACTGAGATACTTGTCTACAGGCTTTTTTTATTTGCAAATCACTCGCGAACGAGACACGAGAGAATTGTTACACTTCCTCAGATTTCATGGAAGTGCTATTGTGAATGCATATCTCATTCGTTCCTCTCGTTCTTAGTAATTCACTTTCCAACTGCTGAGGTGTACCTTTTAGGACCTGATGCTTTTTGTATCGCTAATCACACAGCTTCCGAGGGGAGCATCTTAATATTTATTTACCGCGAATTTCGTCATCAGGAAGTATGTTCGAGAGCAAATTCACCGCTAACGAAACATGACGACGAATATCTAGACCTTGGCAATGCTACGATTAGTTGGAGTTCAAACAAGATTTTTGGAATACAGCCATCATTGAAAGTTACGAAAGTCCAATCTTGGATTGTTTGTAGACGTTTAACTTTAACAACAAATGTTTCGTTAACCTCGCCAAGAAATTTGGTCATAGAATCAGCGATTTTTGTGGCTCGAGGGCAGTGTCTCCGAAGGTTATACGCTTGGACTTCGATCGTCGCTTCCTTAGCGGGGCAGTACGGTTCACTCCGAGTTCGTAAGAGAAGATATAATTGAGAGTCTCCACTATTCAGAAGTCGTGTTAATAACTCACCACCAACATCTTTATGCGTCACTGCTCTTTAAAGTAGTATTCTCACTTTTTAAAATTGTTCCAATCCACACTGATTACCTTGTTGTCCAATTCAAAAAACCAGACAATTTCTTCCCTTAACCGTTCGAAGATTACTTATTTCTGGTACATTCTAATCGTTCAAAACGACGCCTTATAAATATGCAATTTTATTTTGCCAAAATCTGGCTTTTATACGCCTACTACAAATCAAATGCAGCAAAGTAATTGATTCATCAGTCCCTTTTGAAGCGAATATAAAAAAACTTGTAATTTCAGTGCCCGTTTGGAACTCGTTGTAGGTAGTCATGGGAACAGTCACGGTCAAAACTGCAACTTCTAAAATGAAGATTATCTTATAAATGTGTCAAAATTATTACATTGTTCACAATCAGATACAGAACATTAGATGACGGAGAGGTATGAAGTTTTGAAAACTTACCGTTTCCAACCGTTCAAAAGGAGATGTCGATCCTCAGCACTGAACAGAATACTTGGTGCATGTGCGTTGTCATCGTAGGACGAGCGGTGTGCAATGAAATGCGTTGCGCTATCACTCATACTGACACTAACCTTACGGTGAATATTCATTGACGCTTCTAGTATTGCCGAATGCAACCCATTACAATAATCTATGGGCAAGAAGATTCTTTCATTGAAATTGCGGCGATTTAGGGAGATAATAGATGAACGTTTGATGCAATCAGCTACGTTATTCACGCACGATCGATGTTTAATTACGTTGTAAAGCGTTCAGTTTCAATCAAGCGTGAGATATGTTGAAATTCCTTGGTCTGTGCAATGATCACAGATATATTTCCTAGCTGAACACGTTGCATCAATCAAATTGAGCAACGCAAAAATTTGTGGAAAAATTCATTTTAATTTACCGGATTAAGAACTACATTTGAAAAAATTCATCAAATGTCACTTAATTTCGAATTTTCAGCCTCCTTTACGGTCAAGCAAAATGTCAGAATTGTGTCTAATTTCAGATGAGGCAAAATTTAGCATGAATCGGGTCTTCTTCGTGAATTTGACATGAACTCAATCAAAAATTATACGGTTCTGAGATGCAATAAAAATATTTATCAACTCGTTATCTTAGAACTATTAAACGATGTGACATCAACGAAAAGCTGAAAACAATTGAAAAAGATCAGTCACAAATGAACGAATTTCATAAACCGGACGGTAACACAGATCCGCAGCAACTCAGTGTTTCTGCTTGTAACCATATGGAATAATTTATCAGATTTCCCTCAATTTATCAGATTTCTCTCATCAATGCTGCTCTCTCCACGCAGTCGATTCAAACTACGAACAAAGTGAATCGACGCTTCGTCCAAATCAAATTATTGAAACGTAATTACTGCCATTCGATGAACACCACATTATAAGCGATTAATAAGCGTCTTACTCGCTCAGTTCGCTGAAGCCCGCCCACTACTGAGATAGCAATATGTGAGCGCTTATCTCGATAGCATGCAACCCCCCTCCCTAATTCAGTCATTTCATTTACTTATTTATTCAACCAGCAAATCCAATTCATTACGAGTTTAGGCCTCTCGATTATCACCAACATCACTAATATCACATTCTTCCTTCCTTGGCATTCTTTTTTTTCCCGAGCAGCTAACGACAATAGCGTTGTGAATTATCTATCTTCATGAAATTCTAACTTAGATTATTGATTTGGCAAGCACAAAGGTTTTGAGATACTCTCCCATATCGCCCAAGGATTTCTAGGGAGAGGGACTCAGAAGGATCCCGAAAATAGATTCCGACTGATCGACTGAACATTCGTCCAACCAGAGACAACAGTAGTAAACCAGTAATATTTCGGTATCAGTAATAAACAATTAATGTGACAGAGTAGATCCATAACGATCGGTGTATCAAGTATTCCACAACCAAGCAATAAAGAATGCCCGTTGCCATAGATAACTTGCATCATTAAATACAGCCGAATACTAATCTATTAAACAATCGCAACGATGACGAACATTTTGTCGATCGCATAGAGCAGCCACCGGCAAGTAAGTTTTGCTTCGGACCAAAATTTTTCCACGCAACTGACTGGCGGGCCAACGTATATATTACCCGTCTATTAGGAAATTCTATTTCGAAAATTTTCAGGGTAGTAACTAAATAACTAAATAATTCAAAACATTTTTTCTTTTCTTTTTTCACTCTTTACCAAAAAATTCTCAATTTCATCTGGCGGACCAAATATTACTGAAGACGGACCAATTTTGGCCTGCGGGCCGGGGATTGCCGATGGCTGTCATAGAGGAGCAGCAAACCAACCGCTCATTGTCCAAACAACAATCCCGTACAACCCCATTCAGTCATTTATTAGCGCATATTATAATCGTCTTTCTTTCGACCGATCAAAAAAATTCACATTAAATAAAATGCTCATAATTATTGCCGACTGGATGCTTAAGACGCTGCCTAATCACATAATAGCCTACCCAAGAAATCCGTTTCATTCCAAGCATTAATATTAAGTGCTTATTAATCCATGGCAACGTTCCTGGAGCTTTTCATTTCAGCTGGCTTCGATGGAACTTCACGTTTCGTTTCTCTAATTCCTATTGACAGCGATTATGATGTTGTGATTAGGGTTTGCAAAATCCCGACATTTTTTCAATCCCGGGATCGAACAATTATTGAAATATCATTGCGGGATATGTTTAAACACATTTTTTCGAACCAGTATGTTCATTATTAATCAGAAAGGAATTGAATCAACAAATTATTGAACAAATCCAAGGAACTAAGTATTCAAATTCAAATTAATATTTCATATAATGATGCCAATGATCATGCCGCAAGGGCATATTGCATATTCTATGCTAAGGCATCTTGTCATCTCGGGTCTAAGCTAATAACAATACACTTGCATATGAATACGAAATTCTTGATTCTCAAACACTTATTTGCAATGCTTAAAGCCCATTTTCTCGCAGTATTGACGTCAAGTGAATTCTGCCATTTCGGAAATTTCGATTTTTTACGGAAGAAATGCATCGCATGAATAATATCATTTGAATTTTGAAATACTTAAAAGTTCGAAGTTTATCTAAAACGGTTAAAAAAATATCCGCAATGGATTTTCATCGAACCATCGAGCACTTACATATTTGATAATTTCGATCAAAAATCATGGAAATGTACTTGATATTCAAGCTTGGAACAACTTTGCTCACTTCGGTAATGAACTCTCACTATGAGTGAACTCAGTGAGAACTTATGTACATTTCGATCGGATGAAAACATTTCCAAACAGCGAAGTNTTTTATTAGAAAATGTGATTATCTGTGTTAGTTTATTACATAGAAATGCATCCAGATGAGGGTGATATAAACCAATGAAGAGCAAAATAACCAGTTGAATATTCAATGAAATGTTACGTAAAAGTTCATCGAGCTGTCGTTGATCATGTCATTCGTCCAAATTGCGTCTATTTCCTTAGCTGAACATCAATGATAGGAGGCAAACAGCGAAGATAACTGCATATAGATTAGATGGGAATGATTAAGGCTGGCTTCAAGATGGCCATACTATCAAAATTCACAAAAATTGACCGGTTTTATGAAATCCCGAAATCCCGGGATTTTCAAAACTTAAATCCCGGGATCGGGATCAGAACTGTAATCCCGGGATCCTGGGATCCCGTGCAAACCCTAGTTGTGATAAGGTTTCTGTTCACAAAATAAGCGATAGAAATGAATGAATTTCATTCATTGCAAAAGGAATTATTTCATTCAGGGGTTTCTCCTTATGTCTGAATTCGTCGAATAGCGCATCGAATTTATAGTTCTTGATTAACATTTATAAACAGAAAAACATTCAGGTCGCTCAAAAATGTCGAAAAGTAGTTTGGAACAGTGCTGATTATGGAAAAGTGGCTGGAGCTCGAATGCAAATGTGAACTAAGCTTAGTCTCAGCCTGGATTTTAATCTACGATTATTTATTTTTTTATTTCAACCATTTATTTATTTAGCTTAAGCTTAGTTTAGTTCCGTTCGAACTGTTGAGTTTCAGACACATGTTAGCCAGGTCGGATATTGTATATCATATGGAGAATTCAACGTTTTATTAATCACCTTCAAATGTTTCAGGATTTTAGAAGAACTTGGAATAAACGAAATGAGGCTGAATAACATCACAGTTATTGTATGTGCTAATATTGATTAATCAGCTTATTGCTAGATGAATAAAGGCATTTCCAACCCGACTAAAAATATTCAATCAATTTAAAAATACTAATTAAAATTGGCGCGAAACTTATAAAAGTGAGAGTGAAATGGGAGCAAAATATTGCTGGAATACCCTTATATCTCGAAAAGGTTTCGACACAGTAACAGCAAAGCACTGTTTTTATGCAACACGATGTACAATGCAACCGACTTGCACCACTCTCTCTTAATTTAGTTCACTACTCCGAATCAGTGATATAGGCAACAGATTCAATCATTTGGCGTTTATTGCGACTGTAAGTTTTTGTTTTCATGGAAAACCATCTGGCATCTACTGAAGAAAGGATTGTTGCATGATCGCAACCTTCGGAAGAAGATAATGAATTGAAACCTTCACTTGGAGCTGGATTGAAAACTTCCGTTTTTGGTTTACAGGATTTTGTTCGCGGATCAATATGACGGCGATTTTTACTGCAAAATCGATGTAAAGTATATGTGTGCTTCTTTTCCTCTGATGCACAACATTCATCTGATCTCAACGTTCACTATCAGACCTGTTGATCACAAGAATTCAAACAATCAAAACATTGAAGTGAAGGAATATCAACGAATAAACATTGGAATACAGGATACTTTTACCATAACTTTAACCTCAGATGCAATTCTCGAGGGGTTCGTGTCACTCTAAACTGCTGAAAAATGGCAACCACATCACCAAGTCGACTTCGATTCAATTCTGTTTTTGCGTTACTCTCAGTGAATCAACTGAGTGAGAGGCGTAGGGTTCACTTTGCTGAAGAAGAGAACACGATCTACACTTTTTAAGCATTAAACGTTTGTGCGTTCATTTTAAACGAGGATTTTAAAATCAGGAAACCACTCGAAGTAAAAATTGTTTCAACATTGACGTCATTGAGCCATTGTTTAACAGCCATAATCGTTTAACTGGTCAACGTTACGATTGAACTAAAAACTGTGCTTGTGTTTCACTGAATGAACTAAAAATAGAATGAATATCCACATAACGATATCTTTATCCATGGAATCTGTTCGCCAACCAAAAACGTCACTATTTTACTCATTTTCAGTTTTGTATAAAAATTGAGCAATCATAATTTTCTGTACGATAATTGCGATACTTCCAATCATAGCAATTTTGAAATAACTTCTTTATCGGCAATCCGTGGCAGTCAGTGCTAGCTTCATTAGTGAATTGTTTGATAAACGATACCAACATGAAAACAGGTCGATATCAATACGAGGATAATTTGTGGTCATAAACAGAACTTACGAAAAGGCACCGTGAAAATCAAGAAGATAAGCAATAATTCAGTCAAGTTTATTTCAGTTTA